GTCGACCAGCAGCTGCGCCATCTCCAGGGGACCAGCAGTCTCCATCCGTCCCCGGGGGATCGTCTTGTCCCCCAGCTCGGCCACGGTTCCCAGGTAGAGCTTGAACTTCAGGTCCTCGGCCTCTAGTTCCTCCAAGTAGGTGGCCAGGCGGTGGAGGACATCGTCTGCCATCCCCAGCAGGGTTCAGAGCGTGGGTGCTGGAGGGCAGGAGCTGGAGGCTAGGAAGTTACTACAAGTGGGGATCCCAGCGTGCCCTCACATGACCACCCACAGGCAGCAAGCAGGAGAGAGGCTCGGCTTGCTCCCTGCTGCCAGAGGCTGTGAGGATGAGGAGGAAAGACCATCTGCTGAAATAGTGCCTTCTCACTCTTCAGTTGCCTCCTGCGCACTTAACAAGGGGCGTTTCCTTTGAGAAGGAGGAAGTTGGGGACAATGAGGAAATCATAGGAGCTATTTGACTCATGAGAAATTCTCACTTCTGCTCCCTGTCACACCTTGACCTCCTGATAAACGGTCCCTCTCTTTTCCTCATCCTTCCTCCTGTTTTCTGTGCCTCACTCGTGTGGGTGGTGGATCTTGTTCCCATCCGCTGCCATTGAGTTGGTCCTCAAGTCATGGCGCCCACAGGCACAAAGGATTCTGGGAGACTGAAGTGGAAGGCCAAGGGCCCCTCACTGGAAATTACAGAACTTTAACAGACGGGCAGGCGTGATTAAAGTCGACATCAATCACAGTGATTCACTTGATATCTCCCCTCCCTTTGGCTTTAAGTCCATAAAAGAGCCAACCTCTTTACGGACGCTGACTTCTTTAGGTTGGTTACTTTCAATTACACATTCTTCTAACAGTGACCCTCTCCCACGACTGGTTTCGGCTGAGAAACGTAGCCCATGAAGCAAGCCAACCCTGGGAAGAGGCACGCTGAGTCCGGAGTAACCAGAAAAGAGAACAAAGCGTTCCTGGGCGTCCCAAGGATCTTCAACCCCCTTCCCGTCTCCTTATAAAATCAGGTTGGCCCACTTGCTCAGGAGACAGACAGTTTAGAGACGTGATTCTCTGTCTCCTTGGGTCTGGACACTCAATAAACCTCAATAAACCTTCCGCTTTCTCTCTCCAATCTGTTGTCATCGTGGGCCCTTCGCGTCGGGGATCAGGACCTTGTTTTCCTGCAGCAGGATGGCAACGTCACCTGGCCCTATGCCATCCCCACGGCCGAGTACCGTTGGCACCCTAGGAATTTCATTCTTCCTTCTTTAAAATAATTTTATTTGTTTTTGTCAGGAATATAAACGGCAAAACATAGACCAGATCAACAACTTCTATACGACTCAGTGATGCCGATCA